CCTAAATCTGACTATAATTATTACGATCTTGCTGGAGAAGGACCTACATCAGCCGATGTACATTTTCCTCTGTAACTTGTGTATAAATGGGTTGTACGGCACTGTGGGGTTTTACCCTAAATTTTTGTCTGACTTACTCTCTGACACATATTTGATTTCCTACAGTGGATGTTTGCTTCAGACCTTTGTCATCTTCTCATATGCATTGTGTGAATTTACCAATTTAACAGTGATGGCAATTGACAGGTATGTAGCAATATGCAGGCCTTTGCATTACAGTACTGTAATGACACCTGTTACTGTATGCAAGCTGTTGATTTTTATTTGGATGTTTCCATCCTGCACAATTCTATGTTCCATTATCCTGAAAACTACTCTCCCCTATTGTGGGCCATATGTCACCACTCTGTATTGTAAAATAACCGTTTCAACCTGCAAACAGGAGAATGTGGGATTTACATTCAATTTAGTAATAGGATGTATATACTTATCAATGGCCACATTTGTCGTCTACTCCTACGGTAAATTAATTTCTGCCTGCAGAAAATCAAAAGAAAAACAATCTAAATTCATGCAAACTTGTCTTCCCCATTTAATAAGCTGCATGAACTATCTCTTTTTCTCCTTCCTTGATGCATTTAGTGTTAAAAACATTCCACAGTGGTTTAACAGCTTTACGTCTGTGGCATTTTTAATTGTCCCTCCTATTATTAATCCCCTTATTTATGGCATCAATCTCAAATTTATACGCACAAGAATCTTTAAATGCAGTAAAGGAGGGTAAGTTTTGGAGTGTGGCTTCACATTTTGAATAATGCATGATTTATGTGACTTGATTTCCTAGGTACTGTAGATGTGATCTCTATGTATTTTTCTTAAAGTTAGCTATCCTGTACATTCATTAACGTACCTTATTTAAAGTATGTTGAATTCAATGACAAGTTAAAAATACTACTTTGAATACTTTTGCTTGAATACATGTAAATTTATCTTAATCATTTGCACATATCGTGTATCTATACATTTTGAGCTGAAGCTGATTATTAATGTTGCTTTTAAGAAGTTGTTAAAAAGAGGTAATGTGCTCCTGAATCACATGCACATCTAGTCGACGTTTGCACTACAGATGGCCGCCTGTGCTGTCTAATTAGTTGATCGGCGCTGATTATAATCAGGGCCGCTGAGAGAAAATCCGGGCCCCGGTACGAAGAAGGTGTGTGGGCCCTTATACAAAATTCTACACACATGTATGTGTGTATATTATTATTTCTAACAATTGTAGATTACATTGATACATTTAGATAAGTACGTTTAGGTATAAGTTTAATAATAAAGTAATATATTTATAATAGTAAAAGATGCTTATAATAGCATTTATTGTCTGTTGAACAAAGGTGCTTTCCTGGCCGTATGGTTTGTTATGAATAGGCTGCAAAGTGCACTACAGGTAGGATGTACTCATTGAATTTTTACTCCATTTTTATTTATATACAGTAAGTACAGGTACATATATCTTATAATTACAGTAATACATTGTTGTTAATAATAGTTT